AAAAAAAATTCTTTGATTGTTTTACAATCCCCCACCCCCTTAAGTCCACAGTCCACTTTACTGTGCATTTCTTTTTATGGAATCTTGTCATGAAAATAATACCTAATCCTGTATTCCTTTGAAACAGTTCTCTCCCTCATCTGTTTCAATGCAATATACATTATGTGTCTCTTCTTTTCTTAGGTTCCCCCCAACTCCTATATCAGTCCTGTTTTCAACAGTGACCTTATGCATTATTTGTCTTTTTGTGACTGAGATATTTCACTCAGGATAATGTCCTGCAGGGTCACCTTTTTGAAAAATATTTCATGAGTTCCTTGGTTTTCAATGCAGCATAGTATTCCATTGTGTGAATATACCACAGCTTCTCTATCCATTTGTTTGTTTATGGGCACTTGGGTTGTTCCCAACTCTTTGCTATTGTGAACAAAGCTGCAATAAACATGGATGTGCATATATCTGCTTGGGTGACAGTTCTGGTTTCTTTAAGGTATATTCCCAGCAGTGGAATTGCTGGTTCAAGTGGTATTTCTATTTCCAACTTTTTTGAGAAAGTGCCATACCTACCGCTTTCTATAGTGGTTGCACCATTTTACCCTCCACCATCACTGAGTAAGGGTTCCAGTTTCTCCACAACCTCACCAGCATTTGTTTGGTGCTCTATTGAATTTTGCTATTTTTATTGGGTTGAGATGATATCTCAGAGTTGTTTTGATTTGCATCTCTCTTAGAGCTAGGGATTTTTAACACATTTTCATGTGTTTGTTCACCATCTGAATGTCTTTTTTTATTGAAATGTCTCTTCATATTCTGTGCCCATTTTTTTGGTTTACTTTTTTCTTGTTATGGTGCTCAAATATTCTATAAATTCTAGGTATAAGTCCCCTATCAAACATGTCATAGTCAAATATTTTTTCCCAGTCTCTGACTTCCCTTTTTACCCTGTTGGAGAAGTTTTTGGATATGCTTAAGGATTTGATTCCTAGAAGGTCCCATTCATCTATTTTTATCCTCTACTTTTCAGGATGCTTGGAAGACTGTTCATTTCGTGGATTAGGGCTTCTAGAGTTCCTCCAAGCTTTTCTCTAATAAAGTTTATAGTCAGTCCTTGGTTTTAGTCCTAGGTCCTTGATCTACTTTGAGTTGTTTTTTTGTGTATGGAGTGAGGTGTGGATCTTGCTTGAGTTTTTCTAGAGATAGGTTTCTAATTTTGCCAACACCATTTGTTAAAAAGGCTGTTGTTTCCTCACTTAACTGATTTCATCTCCTTGTCAAAAACCAACTGACCATAGGTAGATGGGCTGATTTCTGAGTTCTCAATTCTATTCCATTGATCTATGTGTTTGTCATTGTACCAGTACCACGCTGTCTTGACCACCACAGCAGTATAGTAGGATTTGAAATCAGGGAGTGAGATACCTCCTACTTTGTTTTTCTTTTTAAGGAGTGCTTTGCTTATTTGGGGCCTCTTTCCTTTCCAAATGAAATTGGAGATTGCCTTTTCCATCTCATTGAAGAATGGAATTGCTATTTGTATTGGGATTGCATTGAACATGTAAATTGCCTTTGGTAGTATTGCCATTTTCACAATATTGAGTCTTCCTATCCATTTGCAAGGTATATTCTTCCATTTCTCCAGGACTCTTTTTGTTTCTTGTAATAATGTTTTGTAATTTTCTTTGAATAGATCCTTTGTGCTTCTGATTAGATTTACGCCTAAGTATTTGATCTTGTGATTAGCTGTTGTGAAGGATATTGTTTTTCTTAGCTCCAGTTCAAAATTCTCTTTGTCACTGTAGAGAAATCCAGTTGATTTCTGTATGTTCATCTTGTATCCTGCCACTTTGCTGAATTGGTCAACTATGTCCAGTAGTTTTCTTAATGAGTCTTTAGGGTTTTGTAAGTATACTATCATATCATCTGCAATTTTACCTCCTCTTTGCCAATTTGGATACTTCTTATTTCCTTCTTTTGTCTTATTGCTATTGCTAAGATTTCCAATTCAATATTGAATAAGAGAGGTGATAGTGGGCATCCTTGCCTAGTAAGAGGACAATTCTTGAGGAGATGGATTGACACGGTGACTATAACAATGGCTCAAGCATATCACAGACCATGAGGGTGGTGCAAGATAGGACAAGATTCATGTCTCATATGATTACTCTGAATTTCATACTACATATGGATTGAGGCTCAATATCAAGAATACAAAGATTCTCACCACTGGGCCAATTGGCAGCATCATGATGGATTGTGAAGAAATTGAGATTGTTTACAGTTTTAGTTTGCTTGGCTCCAACTGTTTAGTTTTAGTTTGCTTGGCTCCATAATCAACACTCTAGGCACCAGCAGCCAGGAAATTAAAAGAAGTATTGCAATGGTAAAGTCTGCAGTTCGAGACCTCTCTAAAGTGCTGGAGAGCAACGGTGTCACTCTGAAAACTAAGGTGCACCTGATACAGGCCATAGTCTTTGCAGTCACTTGCTATACATCAAAGAGCTAGAAAGTGACTAGGGATGATAGAGAATTGATGCCTTTGAGTATACCTTTGACTGCTAAGAGAACAAACAGGTTTGACCTTAAGAGGGTGAAGCCAGGCTGCTTCTTGGAGTCAAGGATTCTGAAGCTTTGTCTGGCATACTTTGGACATATTGCAAGGAGGAACCAGTCCTTGGAGAGGATGTCATGCTTGGGAGGGTGGAGGGACAGCACAGGAGAGGAAGACCCTTGATGAGATGGATTGATTCAGTGACTGGGGTAGTGGGGATAGGTGTTTCAGAGAAAATAAGGTTGGCAAGAGATAGAACAGGGTTTTGGCCTATTGTACATAGGGTCGCCATGAGTTGCAGGCTGCTCAGCGGCACATAACAACAACAACAACTTGTTGTTAGATGCCATCCAGAGTTGATTCAAATCATAGTTACCTTTAAAATAGCAAATCAGAACTTTTCTGTGTCCTTCACCATCCACACAGTCTCTGCCGTGCTCAAGCCCTTTACATTCATTGCCTCAGTCCATCTCCTTGAAGGTCTTTCCCCTTTTCCATGACCACCCACTTTTCCAAGCGTGTTGTCTTTTTTCCAAGGACTGGCCCCTCCTGATCGTGTGCTTGAAGTAGGTGAGATGATGTTTCACCATCCTTACCTCTGAGGGAACACTCTGCCTACCCTTCTTCCAGCATATATTTGTTTGTTCTTTCGTACAATCCATAAATTGTTATCTACAAAGTCAAATCCCTTTACATAGTCAATGAAACACTTTAATTTTTAATTTTATCAACATTGTTTAATATTGAGTTATCTTCTTTAGAAAACACTTACTTTAGAACTATTTTAACATCCTTACAGATTATTGCCACTGCAGTTTGCCATACTGATGCCTATACCTTGAGTGGGGCTGACCCTGAAGGATGTTTTCCAGTGATCTTGGGACATGAAGGAGCTGGAATTGTAGAGAGTGTTGGTGAAGGAGTTACAAAACTAAAAGCAGGTAGGCTGGGTATTTAAGTCACCTACTTGATGATTTTGGTTTAATTCTATAGGAAAATTATCTTTTTATAAACGTCATTCTTATTCCTTTATGAACACATATCACCTAAGCAAATTGTTTCATATTACTGATCATTGGAGAATCACAAATACTGGTTTTCTCTCCAATTTTGTAACTACTCCCTGACATTTTTCTTTTGGACAAAGAGATTTCCAAAGCCAGTTTTGCTCAATTAAATCAAAACTTTTAGAGATGTATTAGTTGGAGTAAATATTTTGAAGCAAGTGACCTTGTTCTCTAGTTAGTGTTTTAAAAATTCTAATCAGATAAAAATTTGGGAACCTGTGTTTTTGTATGGTCAAGGAGTGTCTGAATGAAGTGATAGAGGTAAAATTCTAAGCCTTCAAGTTGTTAACCATACAGAGCTGCACAAGTTGACAGGGTCAGGAATCTGAAAGGCCTGATATGTGCATTTAGAAGCGGATGTGCCTGTTCAGGATAATGTCTTTTGATTTGTTTCCTAGGTGATACTGTCATTCCACTTTACATCCCACAGTGTGGAGAATGCAAATTTTGCCTGAATCCTAAGACAAACCTTTGCCAGAAGATAAGGTTAGTATTTTATTCCTAAAATAGGAGGTCATTTAAAATTATAATTGTGTAGAATTTAAAGTCTTTTTTATATTCGTTATTTCACTTTTTGTAACAATTTTATTGTCATTATTATTCTGCCCATTTTAACAAATGAGAAAAATAAGACTTGAAAATTAAGTGACTTTCCCAGTATTAGCCACCTATTAAAAGATAAAACAGAGCTTCCAAAACCCATTTTTTTTCTGTAACATCAGACTGAATTTGCTTAAATGTGGAGCAGAGAGGACCATGTTTGTGAGGTTAAATTAAATCACTTTTATGAGCCGTTTTATTGTCCATTAAATCAAAGTAATAAACTTAACTCATAAGGGTATTAGGAAGACTATATAAGTGATAACGTAACCTCTTGACACAGAAAAAGTACTTATTTTATTGTAGTAGAACTGCTGCTTTTCTGGTGAAACCCTTAAAACTTTACACACCCTTCAAGCCTATTCTTGAGCTCAGCCCAGGGAATCAACTTTCTTTCATTCGCATAATAGACAGGCCTATAAAGTGAATAAGGAGCTTTTGTTGCCTAGGGTAAGAAGCTGTGCTACTATCTCAAAGACCCTCGGTTCAAATCCACCAGCTGCTTAAGGGAGAAGGATAAGCAGTCTCTTCCAGTGCCGTTTCCTGCCACTGAAAACCTATTGGAGGGTCAGCTATTGGTCAGTTCTACTTGATGGCACACATCAACATAACAAAATAACAGCACTAAGGAGGAATGTACTCAGTGCAATCAACAAGAGGAAATCAAAAGGGCAGCATTTGCCCAAAAACAAAGCTCGGAAGTAGGACAGAGAGAAATGAGGAACCCAGCAAGACAGTGGAAAGGGAGATATTACATTGAGAAGACTGCAACCCATGTTAAACAAAATGTTTATAAACTGTTGAGTGGAAAACTAACTTGCTCTGTAAACTTTCAGGCAAACATTTAATATAAAAAATAAATGTTTCTGTACACCAATGTTCGTAGCAGTGTTATTCACCATTGCAAGAACATGGAAACAGCCCAAACATCTAATGACAATTGAATGGATTGAGAAATTATGGTAAATTCACACAGTGGAATACTATGCAGCATGTAGGAGCAATGATTTTGAAAATTACTACCTAACTTGGAATGGACTGGAGAACATGATGCTAAGTGAACTAACTCAGGCCCATAAGGACAAATACTATATAAGACCGTTATTGTAGAACCAGGTAACTAGTAAAACGTGTATGAAGATCCAGGCAGGGGAGAGTGAGAGCAGAGGGGTGAGGATGGGGTGGATAATGATAGGGTTACACAATTGGATGGGGGGATGGAGCGGTGGTGGTGGTGGTGGTTGTTGTTATGTGCCGTTGAGTCGCTTGCGACTCATCGTGAACCGATGTACAACAGCCCTAAACTGCTCTGTCCTGTGCCAATCGCACCGTCTCCGACACACCCATCCCGATTACCCCAGTCACTGAATTAGTCCACCTCATAGGGGGCCTTCCCCTTCTGCGCTGTCCCTCCGCCCTACCAAGCATGATGTCCCTCTCCAAGGACCTGT